GGCAGTTTTTTCCTCACAGTGGGGCCAGCTGTGATATTTGGCCCTTGGAAATGGAGCTGGCAGTGGGTGGCTGTGAGGCCTCGTGGTTCCAGCAGTGGAAAGTCCTCGGGGAGAGGATCTGTGCAATTCTGTCTCCTGTGCAGTTCCCTGTCCCCTGTTCCCTGTTCCCTATCCCCTGTGCGGTTCCCTGTCCTGTCCCCTGTCCCCTGTCCCTGTCCCCCGTTCCCTCTTCACTGTCCCCTGTTCCCTGTCCCAGTCCCCTGTTCTCTGTCCCCTGTGCAGTTCCCTGTCCCCTGTCCCCTGTCCCTGTCCCCTGTTCCCTCTTCACTGTCCCCTGTTCCCTGTCCCAGTCCCCGGTTCCCTGTCCCTGTGCAGTTCCCTATGCCCTGTGCAGTTCCCTGTCCCCTGTGCAGTTCCCTGTTCCCTGTCCCCAGTTCCCTGTTCCCTGTGCAGTTCCCTGTCCCCTGACCCCTGTTCCCTGTCCCTATGCAGTTCCCTGTCCCCTGTCCCTGTGCAGTTCCCTGTCCCCTGTGCAGTGCCCTGTTTCCTGTGAAGTTCCCTGTTCCCTGTCCCCTGTTCCCTGTCCCAGTCCCCAGTTCCCTGTTCCCTGTCCCTGTGCAGTTCCCTATCCCCTGTGCGGTTCCCTGTCCCTGTCCCCTGTCTCCTGTTCCCTGTCCCTGTCCCTCTGCAGTTCCCTGTCCCTGTTCCCTGTCCCTGTGCAGTTCCCTATCCCCTCTGCAGTTCCCTGTCCCTGTCCCGTCCCCTGTTCCCTCTGCAGCTCCCTGTCCCTGTCCCTGTCCCCTGTGCAGCTCCCTATCCCTGTCCCCTGTCCCCTATGCAGTTCCCCGTCCCTGGTGCGCCCCCACCCCAGGTGTCATCCCAATAAAACGCATCCCAAACAAGGACCCCCCACCTCCCCAAGGGGCATTTCCCACTCTGTGATGACCAAAACTGGACATGTGGGCACAGCCAACATCTCCCCAACCCTTCCCTGTGCTAACAWAGAGCTGGACACGAAATCCACCCCAAAGCACTTCCTTTGGGTGGTGAAACACCCCAAAGCCCCTGTGCTGAACCCAGAYGGGTCTGGAGCTCCTTTTTTCACCTGTCAGTGACACCATGAAGCCCTCGAGCTCGCAGAGGCGCCGGCCRAAGGCGAAGAAGCCGCGGATGTTGTTGGAGAGGCTGACGGAGCTGCCGCACAGTGTCACCAGCAGGTTGGCTGCAGCCAGGTTCACCAGGATGTAATTGAGCGGCGAGCGCAGCCGCCGGTGCCGCACGGACACCACGATGACCAGCCCGTTGAGCAGCGAGGCCGAGGCCACCACCAGGCCCATCAGCACGGCCACCACCACGTAGGTGGCCCTGGGAGCCTGGTGGGGCCACTGGGGGCCATCAAAAGGCCCTGGGGTGCTGTTGGTGGTGGGTTCTGGGGAGCTCTCCATGGGGCAGCAGCACCGGGAACAGGTGAGGCGCCCCAAAAGCAGYGCCCCTTTATAGGGCACGAGGGTCTGACGTGCCCTGGAGCGGCTTGGCACTCAAATACCTTAAGCTTTATTTTAATCTGAAGGGTTTGTCCTCCCTCCCSGTTTTATAATCAGCTCTTTATTCCCGAGGGGATAAAGAGTGACTTCAACAAAAATCTGATGGCTGAACAGAGCATCATTTAATTGAGTAAATATTTTTTTCCTTGTCTGTATTTTCCTGTAAGCCCAGTCTGTGCACCTGGGACTGGACATCATTCCCTGTGCCCTGATTGCTGGGCTTCAAGGCTACTAAATATATAAATATATCTAAATATATTAAAATATCTAAATATATCTAAATATATCTAAATATATTGAAATATCTAAGTATATAGAAATATATAGAAATATATTAAAATATCTAAACATATTATCTATAGATATATTAAATATCTATAAATATAGATAAAATATAAATATATTATATATAGCTATATTAAAATATACAAATATATTAATATATAAATATACAAAATTAGAAATAATTTATATAAAAATATATAAATATATATTAAAATGTCAACATAAATATATTAAAAATATGCATGTAGCATGTATTCTGCTCTGAGCCATATATATGTATTGTCTCTTCCATATATATATAGATATTTGTGTATATAAATAAATGTGTGCATATATATACAGTACATATATACAGTATATATATAGTATATATATTTGTGTGTATATAAATATATGTATTTATATTATGTATTTATATTATATATTTATATATATATACTATATATGTACACTATATAAATATATACAATATCTAGTATATAAATAAATACATATACTTACAAATATATATATATTTATAATATATTGGGCCAATGCTCTGCCTTAAAGCCATTTCTCCCTAAACCCTTCTGATCCACCCCCAAAATTCAAAAGCTACACCACCACCAGCATGAACCTTTTTTTTTTCCAATTATTTCATTTTTCAACCTTTTTATTCATCGGTTCTCGTTATAAATATTAACAAATCTGACCAAAAGGACACGGATAGGTAATACCGAAATACAAAAGTCTCTCAGGATGCAGGTAAGGACGGTTTCTGCAGCCTTCACACGGTAGCAAAACATCAGTATCAAACATTTCACGAGGCCTGGCGTGACAACCACCGACTCTGCATGCAGCTGGACGGACGGACGGACGGACGGACGGACGGAGTGTCCACTTAGAAAAGACCAGGGTACAAAGTGAAGGAACCCACGCACACATGTGCTACTCCACCTCAGGCACAAACCAGTTTCGTAGCAAGATATGCTGGAAAAAAGGATGGATGGAAAGGAATTTTGCTGGGAAAGGGAGGCACAGCCAACCTGGCRCTGCTGGAGCTTCCCTGGAAGCTCAGACCCCGACCAGGTTTTTAAGGTGCTGGACCAGCAGGGATTACCGGGAACATCCGACTTGACAGGCTGCCAGCATTCAAATAAACCCCATGTGTGTCTGCAGGATGCATTACAAATATAAAGTTATTAAAAAAACCCTATGAACGTTGTTTTGTTGGGTTTTTTTTTATCCCCCCTCCCCATATCAAACAAAGAAAACACTTGGAAAAGTAAACGTAGGATTCCAGAGATTCTGTTGTTTCCCAAGGAAAAATAAAAGTTGGCAACACGTGCACAGGGCTTGGAAGCTGAGGGTGAYTGGGACTTGTGGGGAAAGAGCAGATCTTCCTAAGAAATCATCAATTAAAGGCTTCMAAAAATTTGGGAAAGGYGCAGCATTTTGGAGGAAGTTTTAGYTCATCCCACTGGGCATCTGGTTGGAATGAGGATGAGGAGACTGGCCAAGGTGGATCACAGAGGATGATATCTGGGATTATCATGATGATGTTAAATTATCATGATGATATTAAATTATTATGATACTATGAAATCATTATTTCTGTGTCACATTACCATTACTGTGCCATACACAGAAATTGGTTCGGTTTGGGTGCTGCTGGAGGCAGAAATGAACTGACATGACGGCCCTGCTGGAGCTGAGCATCCCTACAAACACAACTCCRAGGCTCAGCACCTTCATAATTTAATGAAAGAATCGAAAATGTTAATAAATTCATCATATGATGAACAAATTGGAAAAGGATGAATGAGGGAAAAAAATATAGAAAAATTCACGCTGGAAGCAGGTTTTGCTGGAAAAACAGCCGTGCTGCTGTGTGGTGTGGTTTCCTTAGGAGTGAAACATGCTGCTGGTCCTGGGAAGCGGGAACAGCCAGGCTGTTCTGCTGAACTTTGGATTTTACCTCCCAAACAGCAAAAAAAAAATCAGATTTTGCCTCCCAAACGGCAAAAAAATATCAGATTTTGCCTGCCCCATCCCAGGAGGAGGAAAGCCACGTTCTGCACAGCTCTGCCGACTTCCCATGAGTTACTGGAGAGGATGAGCACAACATTCCCGGGAGGAAAGCGAACCCTTTTGGGGTTCACCAAGGACACACAATCATTCTGACAGGGGAGCTTTAAATGCAGAAAAAAGCCAGTTTAGGCCCAAACCACAGGGACTGACAAACCACCAGAGATATGGCACGGTCRCCTGGAGGAGACGGCTCCGGGTTCTGCGCGTTTTTGGGGACGCCTTTGGCCGACAGCGGACACGCGGACGGACGCACTCGTGTTTGCCACTGACTTTGCAAGGCAGCGAGGAGATTTTGGGGTTCRGGGGAGGAGCCGGGCTGCAGGGCATGCAGGGGTGCACACCTGGGCGTGTGTGTGAGTGTGTGCACATGCACGCTGAGAGCGGGGCCGGAGCGGGGCCGGGCGCTTTGGGAAAGCCTCGGGAGCGGCCGGGCGGAGCGAACCACCGCCGCCTTCATCCCTGGGATGGGCTTTTCTGCAGCCAGGCCCTGCCGGGGGTGTCCTGCTCTCCTGGCTGTCCTGGGACCCCCGTRCCCAGCGCTGGGAGGAGTCCAGAGATTCCCAGGGGTTCAGTCGCTGAGCACGGCGCCCGGCAGCTCGTTGGTCAGCGTGTGCCAGCGCTCGATCTTCTTGTCTTTGTTCTTCAGGCAGTCGAACCAGTGCTTGAGCCGCTCCCCTTTGGCGTTAATTCCCAGCACGACCCCGCCTGGGGAGAGAGCAGAGATGGGAAGAGCTGGGGGGAGCACCGGCCTGGTGGGGGATGATGAGAGATGTGGGGGATGATGAGAGATTTGGGGGATGATGAGAGATTTGGGGTTTGCTGGGGGAAGCCAGGTGCTTCAGCATCCTCAGTGTCCAACCTGGGTGAAATAGTCAAATAAAGCCCGTCCTGCCCAGCCCTCTGGCTGTGATTAGGGACTTGCCCCTGGCTGTGCCCTGTCCCTGTCCTTGGCTGTGCCCTGTCTCTGTCCCTGGCAGTGCCCCTGTCCCTAAAAATACCCCTGTCCCTAAAAATGCCCTTGTCCCTCTTCCTGGCTGTGCCCTGTCCCTGTCCCTGGCAGTGCCCCTGTCCCTAAAAATACCCCTGTCCCCAAAAATGCCCTTGTCCCTCTTCCTGGCTGTGCCCTGTCCCTGTCCCTGGCAGTGCCCCTGTCCCCTGTGCCAAGGGCTCTCTGCCATCCCAGATGCTGTTGGAGGTACTCATTAAAATAACTGATAAATCCCAGCGACCAGGAACAAAACCACAACGARCCCAGACATCCAGCAGAGATAAATAAAAGCTCCCCGTTGAACCTGGTTTTTCACCCAGAGGAAAACATCTGCAAACAGAAGGGGAGAGGCAGACTCGGCTCCTCCCTGCTTGGATGCCCCTCCAGAGGTTCAGGTGAAGGGGAGGGATAAAAGCAGGACTGAAATCCTGTGAGGATGGATGTGGGGATGGAGAACACACCGGGAGGCTGGAKGGGTGCAGGAAAAATGAGAGGAACAGACAGTGGAGATAAATCAAAGAGAGACCAAGGAGAATTTCCAGAGTGTGCCACTGACCTATGAAATCGTTGGATTTCCCGATGTCGTAGTCCCACACGGTGACTTCCAAGGTCTTCTTTGCCAGGTCACCGTGCTTGATCTCATAGAAGAACTCCTGYAGGGCAGCAGAGGCAGAGTTAGGATCAAACAGAGCCTGGAGCTGCTCATCCTCCTCCTCCTCCTCATGGGGAGCCCAGCCCTGGTCCCTCACACCGTGATTGAGGTGGGGATTTTTTCAAGTCTGAGGTTGAGAAAAGCACCTCGGTGAGAGCCACCCCCACCCCGARCTCACCTCGTTGAACTCGGGGTTCAGCGTTTTCTTCTTCACCGCTGTCTTGTGCTTGGATTTCTTGTCCTCATCGGGTTTCAGATAACTGCAACGAGACCGAAGCAGCCCCGTGGGTGCCGTGAGGAGGGCAGGAGGTGACAGGGGGGGACATGGGTGGCTGCAGGACCAGCTCATTCCCTCCTCCCCTGCTCTGCCCTGCCAGAACGCTGRCAATAGCTGGGAGGAGGCAGCATTTCCCCACCTTAGGACCAAGMGAGCTCTGATTATGCCATCCCCGGTCCCTAGGGGACACTGGCACTGCACACAAACCAGTAACCATCACTCCCMAAACCAGTCACTCCCAGCCCAGAACAAGGATTGTGTGACTACTTGTTCATCCAGAGCCTTTCCTGGGACAGGAACAACATCCAGAGTGGAAAAGGGAGCAGGAACAGGGTGGCTGCAGCTTTGAGATTTTCACCTGACAGGGACAGTGCAGGCTTCAGAGAATGAGGAACCTGGGAATGTCACTGGGAAGAGCAGCAGAGGGGTCTGTGGCACCTTCAGGCACGGGCACTGTCCTGCTCGAGCCAAACCCTGTCCTTATCCACCTTGGGCCACCAGCTGTGTCCCCAGAGCCACGCCCCTCCTGCAGACCCTCTCAGTGGCCACCTGGCCACCGCCAGACCACGGGGACAGCCCCACAGAAGCCAATCCCGCGCCACCCCACCTGGAAGCTCTGCGCAATAACCTCCAGGGAATATCGGAATATCGCTGCGGGCCACCACCGCCAGCTGCCGCCGTGACGGCCTCATTTGCATCTCCTAATGAGAGCAATTAATTCCCGCCGCGGGGAGGGGCGGGAGGGGACAGCAGGGGACACTCACATTTTGACGTAGGGGTCGGAGTAGCCGTTGGCATCCATGGCGGCCAGGTGGGCGCAGCGCACGATGCCCACCAGCAGCCCCTGCTTCTGCGAGCTGTACTTGAGCGACACCAGGATCCTGCCGCGCTCCTCCAGCGACTTGTCCTCTGTTTTATCTATCTGGGGAGGGAACCAGCGCAGTCTGGGGGCTGTGCAGGGGTGCAGTCACTGCCAGACCCCACCCCTGATATGCCCGAGGGGTTGAACAGCTCCGGAAAGAGCTGTTCCCATGGTGGGGTGAGGCTCTGAACGCCCCCCACTCACCGGCAGCTGCTTCTCCAGGCAGATGTTGAAGTTTTTGGTCTGGTTGGGCTTCAGTTTCTTGAGCGGGATGCGCGTCTCGCCGATGAACTCGTTGTGGCGGAATTTGTCCTCGTCGCACACCGAGATCCTGCAAGGGGCGCGGGCTGAGCGGGGACGCGGGGGACGGGGCGGGGGAGGGGGGATGGCAGCGAGGGGACAGCTGGGGTCACCCTTCCCTCGGCCATGGACAGGGGAAACAGCTGGAATGCAGCTGGAATGTAGCTGGAATGCAGCTGGAATGAAGTGGGAATACAGCTGGAATGAAGTGGGAATACAGCTGGAATGTAGCTGGAATGAAGTGGGAATACAGCTGGAATGCAGCCTGAATGCATCCAGCCGCTGGCACAGCCTGGCCAGGGCAGCTCCGGGTGTGAGTCCCTGTGTCCAAGCCACATCCCAGCCCAGGAGCTGCTGGAAAAGCACTCTGGACCCAATGACCCTTCTCTCAAAACATCAAAGTCATCAGTGACTACAGCAAAATTCGGAGTTGCTGAGCTGCGTTTTTGCAGCCATGGAGGCTCTTCCTCATCCCTGCCCTGGGCTGCACAGCCGGGAGAAACTTCCCAAACATCTCCTTCCCTCCTTCCCGAGGGCTCGGGCACTGTTGGAGCGGAACCCCTCCCCTGGCAGGGACACAGGACGGCTCTGTCACCTCCTGTCCCCCCAAACAGAGGGATTCCACACCCAGCCTGTGGAAACACCACACCTGGGCCAGGTGAATCTCCCCAGCWCCGCTGGGATCCCAGGATTGCATCTGACGGCAGTGCCGAGGCTGTTTTCCATGGAAAAGCTATAAATGCCTTTCCCTGAGCTGGCAGCTCATGAGTCACTCCCGCGTCGCTTCCCAGCCCGCGGCAGGAGAGGCGGCAGAGGAGCAAAGTTAAGGCTCTGCCTGCAGCTCCCCAAATCCCAGAGAAGGTCAGGAGGGTGCCTTGAAGGTGCCTGGACCTGGAAATGGGGAAATCCATCCCATCCTGCTCCAAAGGGAGCATCCCCATGCAGGGACTCCCTGGGCTCCCTGCCCATAAAGGAATTGCCTTCCCCTTCCCTTCCATCCTTTCTCCTTTTTAGAAAAATATYCTTATAGTGTCTTCTCACCCTTTTGGTGCCTGATTGTTTTCCCTTTCAGCCACTCCCATCTCCCATCTCTACCTCCAGGAACAACACAGGGAGAGGGAAAAGGAATTAAAGATAAAATAGAGCCATGTGGTCCCACCTGAGGGCGACTGCACACCACACCCCTGCCCTGCTTAGTACCTGAATGGTTTATCCACGGATGATTTATCCATGGATGATTTATCCATGGATGGTTTATCTGTGGATGGTTTGGTGGCTTCTCTCAGGACGGTTTGAGCACCCTCATGCTCACAAGTGAATTCCAAGGAAGCAAAGAATCCGTGGTGATTTCTCAGTGCCACAGCACATGGATCATCAASGCCAGGGAGCAGGGGTTTGGAAACCCAAAGGGTTTGGAAAAAAAAAATTGCTAGGAGCTGGAAAATAAGGAATTCTGCTCTCCAGAAAGCTGTGGATGGATGCAGCGTTACTATAGATACCCACGGAAAAAAAAAACCAAAAAAAACCAAAAAAAACCACCCCACCACGGCAGTGAAACCCTCAAAGAGAATCTCAAATGCAGACACAATGTTCCTCATTTCCTCTGGATTTCTTGGGAAAGAACAAAACCAACACAGCAGCAGCTCCAGGGCCAAGGCATGTGGGAACCCTGTCCATCTGGGCAGAGCTGGAGAGGGACAGGAGGGGACAGGAGGGGACAGGAGGGGCCATGGCCTCATAGGGAAATGCCAGCCCGGATCTGTTTGCACAGCCAGCCATCGTGGAGCGGTGCAGGTTACTGGACACTCAGGGTTTGGGATGGTTTAATTCCTAAAAATGTGAGCAAGGATTCTCCTGGCAGTGTCCAGTTACACCCCAGGAGCACAGCAAGATCCCAAACATGATGTCCTGCCTGCTGTGAAGACTCAGGAGCCTCAGGAGGGGCAAAAGCCTCGGAAGGAAATGTGGAAAACCGCAGTGGTGGTGGCATTTTGAGMATCTCCAGTGTCACAAGGGGAAAGWTTCCATTTCAGTGCCCACAGGGGCAAGGGAAATCCCTTGGGAAGTGAATTTTGGCACTTCTGCAGGACCTGGGAACTGCCCTGAGCAGCTCAATGGAGCTGGGGACACCTCCAGGCCTCYCCCAGTCCCATTTTTCCTCTGGCCACCTCTCAGGCGGGTCCCCACATTTTGTCCCCATCTGTGCATGATGCCCACAGGGGGTTTTGTATCAGCTCTCCCAGTGCCTCAGGCTCAGCCCCCAGCCCCAGTTCCTCTTCCCAGCAGCATTTCATCCCCACTGGAAAGGAATTTCCATCTGGGGCAGGCTAGAAGTGAAGGCAGCGAGCTTTGAGTGAGATGAGCAGGAAGCTCCAGCCTCGCCCCTCCCTTTGGCAAAAGGCACAATGCAATCACACCAGCTTGGATTTTATCCACAAATCGATGTGGAGGGATTTTGATGCTCTGGGTTAGAAAATCAGCCCCTGACAAACAGCACGAGGTACCTCTGGCAGCCTCGCTCACCTCCCTGTAACTGGAGCCTCACCCCTTTCTCATTTTCATTAATCCCAATCCCAGCTCAGCTCTGGGTTTCACACTCTCACTGTGGGGTCCTGATCTTCAAGTTCAGAGCTACGAAAACCTCCTTGGAAGCAAAGCTGAGCAGCAAACGAGCAATCAGCGCTCGATAAACTTCTCCTCCCTCCCACTCAGCGCGGGCTCCTGGGTGACAGCCCTGACTCACCGCGGCTGACTCACGGGCTCTGCTCTCTMACACGAGCTCCTCGGCCCTTTTTCTGGTGTGGAGAGGGGGAATGGGGTCAGCAAGGACCCCTTTCCACAAAAATGCACTCATAACAGGCAGCAGGGTGTGAGATGCATCCCCTGTGCCTAAGATTTCTCATGGTGGCAGTTTGGGAAGCTCTCCATGAGGAGCAGGGGATGCTGGTTTGGTTTAAGACAGGCAGCACCAGGCCAAGAGACAAAATAACAGGTTGGGAAAGTCCAGTTGTTCAAAAAACAAAAAAAGACTATTCCATCCTGGGCTCCATCACAAAATGCCTCAAAGTCTGAGCACAGAAACCACAGCAGAAATTATAATTACAGTTACAATTACAATGGCACCTGCAATTCCAAGCAAACCCCATCCAACCATTCCAGAGTGAAGCAGTTTGGGACCCCAAACCTCAAAATGCCTGCACTCTGTGCCCGTTAGCCCCRATCAAACCCCATTTTCTGAATAATCCATTTAATGAGTCATGATTGTGTTTGTCAAACACACGATTAAACAAAGGATCCCTGGCGCTCCGTGGGCTCKCCGTGAATAACGAACGCATCCACTCGCCAATAAATCCGGATGTGAATAATTACATCCCCTATTTGGCCGGCTCGGGTGTTTATGATGAATGCAATTTATTTATTGCATATTATATGGATTATTGAAATGGAGGAGATTTGATTCTGCCTRTTYCTGAAGGGTTTCTCTGCCTCACCAYGGGACAYGGGGTGGGAATGGGGGCTCCAGGGTGGGATTTCCCCCCTGGGACTGGCAAGGACGCTGCCCCCAAACCCGTCCATCCAAGCCCAGAGTGTTTTTCAGGGCTCTGACCCTGCCTCTTGCAGGCTGTGGGTGGTTTCATCCCTGCTAAGCCCTGGGCTGTGCTCGGGGATATTGAATTCAATGAATGGATGAGACCTTTGGAGATCCTCCCACCTGCTGCGCTTCCTGAAATCCCAAATGTCTGCGGGGTTTTGAGGGGGCTGATCCATTAACAAAATCCTTCTGCCAGGGCATTCAGCAGGGCTGCCTTCACCTCTCCTTCACCTCGGGGAAACAAACCCTGACGGCTCCTGGGGTCTGTCACAGCAATGTCATACCCCAAAAAATGGACAAGGCCACGTGGGGATGGGGGAGAACCTCTCTGGGCAGGATATGGGGTTGTGGGGATGGGCAGGAGGATTCCTGGGTGCTTTTCCAGCCTCCCTGATGCACCYTCAGGCTGTGGGGAGGCGAGGGCTGGCAGCGGCTTTGATCTCCTTCATTTTTACATTAAAGAGACTCTGGAATTGCACTCCCCACCCCTCACAAAGCTTGGCACCAGGGACGGTCACCGCCCCGACCGGGGGAGCATCAGAGATGCTCTTTCAAGCAGGAGCCTCTCCTGATCAGCACAGGGAAAAGCAGCGTCCTCCTGGCTTTGAAGCTGGCTTTTCCTGATGGAAAAGGGGATATTTTGAGGAGGAGGTGGATGGGTGAAGCGAAGAACACAAGGCAGGACCATGCACGAAGGTGTTTTCTGCTGGGGGAGCCAAGGGTCATCTCAAAGGAGGGAAACRGCTCCAGMCACACCRAAACACGGRCAGACRGTCAGTTKGGATGGGRTTTTGGGAAGGAATCTTTCCCTGGTGCCTGGAGAAGCTGTGGCCATTCAGGATTTCTGAGGAGAAAAGGGCAAATCCAGCCCTGCACACATTTCCATCCATCCCCATCCCATAATTCCCTGTGGGATCACAGCCTTTCCCAAGGGAKAARCAGCTCCCAGCACCCTAAAAGGGCRGGGGGCTGAGCCCTCCTGCTCCCTGACGCCTTCCWGCCAACAACTCAGCCCAACATCTCCCCACAAACCGATTTCCGAGCTCCAAGAGGCTGCAAACTTCAAAGCCTGGAGTGCAAAAACACCCACCAACAACAACAACAACAAACTGGAGCTTCCCAGCCCCACCAGCCCGCAGCCCTTCCAGTGTGACAAATGTGTTCTGAGTGAAATAATCATCCATGGTGCCGGATTTCCCATCCCCCTGCACATTGCACACCATAGGTGGGCTCTGCYCCTCTTCTCCCCTGAGCAAGACCTTCCYCAGGGCAGCTTTGTGCTCCTGGYAYGGGGAAAATCACAGATTCCTGCAAKTGAGGAGGGAGGGATCCCAGCCACGGAGCTGGCAGAGCCCTGAGTCCTTGGAGAGGGATGCAAAATCCTTTGTTTGAYGGCGGATCTTACAGCAAATCCCACAGAACGGCCCCGGATCGGCGTGGGGATGGAGCAGCTGAGGCTGCTCGCAGTTCCTGCCCTCATCCAGGTGGGACAGAGGCCAAAATGTGAAAATCTTTGCCCTCAGAGGTGTTTGCTCCCTGCAGAGAATCATTSCAGGCTCTCCCAGCCCTGCCACGCTGCCCCTGCCCACCTCCAGGGAGATACTGAATGCACAGACTGAACCAACAAAATTATAAAATAATAAATATTTCCACTCTCTGTTTAGTTGGTCAACGATTCACAGCTGCCTCCAGCTTTCTCCCAAAAAGCTCAGCTTTGAAAGGGGCCCAGAACTCCCCCAAGGGGGTTTTCTCAGCAAGGGGGGACCACAAAGCCTCGACACGTGCCTGTGAGAGCTGGGCAGGAAGGGGTTAAACCCAAATCATGCCATCTGGGCAGTCAGGAACCAGCCAGAGAGTTATGGGGTCAATGATACAGCAGGAATGGACTCCTCAGAGGTTATCCCAAATCGCTTTGGGATATCACTTTGGGCARTCCCAATTCGTTTTGGGATATCATTTTGGGCAATCCCAAATCACTTTGGGATATCGCTTTGGGYTATCCCAAATCCYGCTYKGGGATATCACTTTGGGYTATCCCWAATCCCACTTTGRGATATCACTTTGGATTACCCCAAATCCCGCTTGGGGATATCACTTTGGATTACCCCAAATCACTTTGGGATATCACTTTGGATATCACTTTGGGTTATCCCTAATCCTGCTTTGGGATGTCACTTAGGGTTACTCCAAATCCTGCTYTGGGATATCACTTTGGGTTACCCCAAATTTYGCTTTGGGATATCACTTTGGGTTACCCCAAATCCCATTTCGGGGTATCACTTTGGGTTACCCCAAATCACTTTGGGATATCACTTTGGGTTATCCCTAATCCTGCTTTGGGATATCACTTTGGATTACCCCAAATCATACTTTGGGATGTCACTTWGGGTTACCCCAAATCCCGCTTTGGGATATCACTTTGGTTTATCCCAAAGTGATTTGGGRTATCACTTTGGATATCACTTTGGGTTATCCTTAATCCTGCTTTGGGATGTCACTTAAGGTTACTCCAAATCCCGCTTTGGGATATCACTTTGGGTTACCCCAAATCACTTTGGGATATCACTTTGGGATTTCACTTTGGATATCACTTTGGATTATCCCAAATCCCACTTTGGAGTGATGGATTTGTGCAGGGTGCACACTCAAACTCCCCACTTTTTGGGGGATAACTCTGTTCCAGGAGCCTCCTGCAGGGCTGGGCATGGGGATCCCATTGGGAATTGTCCCTGGGTGGGGAGGGGCGGTGGCAGAGCACTGAGGGAGAGGAATGGACCGTGTGACCGTGTCCCCCACCCTGCCCCCGGCCCTACCGCAGCGTCTTGCGGATCATGTCCTCGTCGGTGATGCCGTAGTAGGTGAGGGTCTCGTTCCAGGTGGGGTTCAGGGTGTTGCGCAGCGTTTTGGTTCTCAGCTTGTTGGCCTGCAAAAGGGAAGCGGGCTGGGGTCAGTGGGGTCAGTGGGGTCAGAAAAGGGCACCCAGTTCGGACAGGAAGGGTCAATGGGTGCTGCCACCCGGCTGGTCCTCAATGGAGTGACTCAAACCTGCCCCTAATTCAGCAAAAAACAGAGGGGCAGGGACAGGGCAACTCCAGAGCAACCCAACCCTGCATCCTGAATCCTGGAAATCACCAGCGGAATGGGAACCTTGGCAGAGCACARAGGGGATTTTATTTAAGCAGCAAGAGAGAGCAAAAGAGGGGGAAAATATTCCTTTTTAGATTGGATAAAAAATGCTGATTTGCCGCCGTGGCTGTTTGTTTGTGATCCTGTTCCCAGCACAGCTCTTGATCCTGCCTGGCTCCAAACAAACTCCCTGACAGGAGTTCTGTCAGCTCCTTCCTGCAGCTCTGCCAGGCAGGAGGATGGGGACAGCAGGGCTGTGTCCCCTGGAAGGATGGGACATCCTGGCTGAGGTGCTCACCCCTGTGTGGGTTGCAAATTAAAAAACCTGAGGGAGCAGGAAAGGCTGGGGCTTTGCCATGTTTGTGTGGGCAGGTGCTTTACAGCCACAGCGTTCCTGGGGCTCTGGGCCCTTTAGATCTCTCCACCCTAACCCTAAACCTAACCCTAAACCTAATCCTAGTCCTAGTTAATTTCCCCAGCCAAGAACCTGGGTTTTTTCTTACCAGAAAGATGGAAGAGCAGCAATGTTTGGGCCCTGCTGCCATGGCCCTGGCAGACCATCTCCAGCCCCAGTGTTTCTGGAGTTCTGGGCCCTTTAGATCCTAATCCTAACCCTAAACCAAACCCTAACCCTAATCCTAGTCCTAGTTAATTACCCCAGCCAAAAATCAGGGTTTTTTCTTACCAGAAAGATGGAGGAGTAGTGATGTTTGGGCCCTGCTGCCATGGCCCCAACATGCCTGACAGGCCCGGTGTTCCCACAGCTCCAGGCTCTTTAGAACTCTCAACCCTAAACTTAACCTTAACCCTAGTCCTAGTTAATTTCCCCAGCCAAGAACCTGGGTTTTTTCTTACCAGAAAGATGGAGGAGCAGCAATGTTTGGGCCCTGCTGCCATGGCCCTGGCAGGCCTTCTCCAGCCCCAGTGTTTCCGGAGCTCTGGGTCCTTTAGATCTCTCAACCCTAGCCCTAAACCTAACTTAGCCCTAACCCTAGTCCCAGTTAATTATCCCAACCAAGAACCTGGTTTTTTTTCTTAAAGAATGGGAGGACCAGCAATGTTTGGGCCCTGCTGCCATGGCCCCGGCAGGCCCTCTCCAGCCTCAGTGTTTCTGGAGCTCTGGGCCCTTCAGATCCTAATCCTAACTCTAACCTTAGCCCTAAACCTAACTGTAGTCCTAGTTAATTACCCCAGCCAAGAACCTGGGTTTTTTCTCACAAAAGGATGGAAGAGCAGCAATGTTTGAGCCCTTCTGCCATGGCCTTGGCAGACCATCTCCAGCCCCAGTGTTCCCACAGCTCTGGGTCCTTTAGATCTCTCAACCCTAGCTCTCACCCTAATTTAGCCCTAACCCTAGTCCCAGTTAATTATCCCAACCAAGAATCTGGGGTTTTTTTTCTTACAAAAGGATGGAGGAGCAGCAATGTTTTGCCCTGTCCCCTCACGGTTCCCTTTGNTTTTTTCTTACAAAAGGATGGAGGAGCAGCAATGTTTTGCCCTGTCCCCTCACGGTTCCCTTTGGGCCTTGTGCCCCAGCTCAGGGGACGCTGATCTCCTGACTCCCTGAGCACCCCCATTCCATGTAGGGCAGATAAAAGGGGCTAAGACTGCAGGCTGTGCTTCCCCAGCRGGYTCCCAGCCTGGCACAGCCTGGYACAGCAGCGATTTTCCCTCTAATGAGGTGTCAGACAGCTCAATCCCTGCCTCAGCTGCTGCTGGGCGTGAGGAGCTCTCAGCACAWCAGCCTTGTGCATCTTTTTGGGAAGCTGCGGCGTTCTCCACCTTGAAGTGACAAGGACAGCAGGGAAAGTGCCCTGATGGCATCCACAGCCCGCTCACACCTCTGGGGACCCGGTCCTGAGGCTCTGGAATTGGGAACTAAAGTGGGTTTAGCCAAAGAGGAGGCGAGATGAACACAAAGCTGCCCTGGGAAGGGGCAGATCGGAGGAGCTGAGCTCCGGGAGCACTTTTTTCTCCCATCTGGGATGATGAGCTCAGGAGCCAGCTCTGCACGGGAATGGATCCAGCCCTGCTTCCCACAGGTGCCTGGGAGCCCAAACCTGGGGCAGGAACATCCGAGGGACTCAGGGACAATCCTGCTGCTGGAATATCCACCCAGGCACAAATCCCTGATCCCCCTAGGACAGATCTGGAATGCTCCCGAGGCAGAGAGAAGGTCCCCCCACTGTCCATGGCTCTGCAGATCCCGTGTCCCCTCCCCTCCTGCATCTCCAGCCTCCACCAGCTCCATCAGAAATCCGTGGATTTTGCAAAGCATGGAGGTGAGTGATAACATCGCCGATGAGAGCGCTGCTGGCTCCGTTGTGAAACTCAGGATGTGGTTAAAAACTCCCTCTGCAGCCCTGAATTAATCCAGCTGAACTGTAACAAGTAAATACACCTCCTCCCCCCCCCCAAAAAAAAAAAAAAAAAGGTCTTTCCTTTCGTGTGGAATAAGAGTGCAATTAATATTCCTAATGCATCCACGGAGCATTTAAATTCCACATCCCCGTCACTTACAGCGAGCTCTCAGCACACATCAATATCTTTAATTACTCTTCTCTCCAGCAAGCRCTGAGCCTAAGGAGATGGAAATATTCCCCTTATGATTTATACTCTGTTTTATTATGATCTGAGGGGGTTTTAAATGCAAAAGAAAAAGGGCAGAGAAAAAAAAAAGGAAATTAAAAGGGTCCGGATTTGTTTAGAGCTGAGATTTCTTCACTTGGTGCTTCCTGGGGGCTCCTGGAGCGCAGAATTCCCACCCYCTGCTCCCAAGGTAAGGAATCAGGGCTGGCACCTGGCTCCCAGCCAGTGGTTTCCCAGAAAGGCATTTTCCATCCCTGCAAGGATAGATTCAGCCTCAATTCTTAACCTGCTGCTCTCTCTGAGCACCTTTTACCYGAGAAATTCAAGGTGTGGGTGCAGCAGCCCACGGCTCCTGGCTGAGGAGCTTCTCCCAGGATTGATTTCCAAGGAAAAGGTGCAACTCCAGGAGAAGAAGAAGTGAAAAGGATTCTCACCTTGCTGGCTCCGGGGAGCAGGTGCAGCTTGACGTAAGGATCGGCCAAACCATTGTGGTCCATTGGCTTCAGGCCCTGGGAGGGGACAGCAAAAAGCAGGAATCAGAGTGGCTCTGCTGAGCCCATCCCACAGCTCCTGCTCCCATGGGATATCGCTGGTCCATGGAGGAATTTTGGATTCCTCGGGATTGGGGAAGGAGAGGATTCTGCAGGATCTGGGCTCGGCATTCCAGCAGCGCCCGCAGATCCCAGGAGGGGTTGTGGGAAGCTCCTCTCCTGCGCGTGGCACCATCCATTCCTCCTTTCCTCATCCCGAATAATTTGGGGGTGAAGGCAAATCAGAGCAGTGATTTCCCAGGCTGGAAATTACAGGGTTCTGTCATTTCATAATTGCTGCTGAGCAAACACACACCTCTGCCGCCGTGGTGGCGCTTCCAGAGGGTGGGATAGCACCTCCCTACTCYGAGTTGTTGAGGAAGAGCAGCTCCAGGCCAGCGGGAGGCTGGTGCCAGCCCAAATGCTGGGGTGTTTGCAGARAAATCTGGGGTTGTGGGAGCGCCAATCCAAGGAATTTCTTGCTGATGGATTTTCTACAAGACCCTCAGTGAGTGGGTCAGGTTTGTCACAGTGATGCCCTGCTTTGGCAGAGGGAGGGCACAAAGCTCTACCTCTGTTCCTCCTTCAAATCAACTGAAAATTATCCAGGGGTGATGCCCAAACCCAGCCCGAAGCCATTCCTCCACAGACTGCTTGGAAAAAAACTCCACAGGGCAGGGAAGCAAGGCAGGAGAGTGAGGAATGGAGCCTTAGTTCTCACCAGACCTAGGGAGGGAAGGGAATGGCTCTGTCAGGGAATTCCTTGGGTTATTTCCAGCCTGGCTGTGGGGTCCTGGCAGGAATCACTGCAGGGCTGGCTGAGGGTAACCCTGGATCAGAGCAGGGATCCTGTGCAGAGGTGCCCACCCAGCCCTGGCTGCAGTTTGGGGGATGCTGAGGGGATCTCACACCCTTTTAGTGAGGAGCAGAGCTCTCAGATAATGATTGTGTGTGGCTGCAGGGGCAGCGTTTGTAGGGACTGCTGATCCGAGGGCTGAAGGGATGGGATCATCCAGGATTTGGGCAAATCAGGGAGGGAAATGCTGAGGAATCACCTCCGTGCTTCACAGGCATGGAATAACTCACCCAGCCTGACCTACAGCACCTCAGGATCCTCTCTGAGCCACTCCAGGATGCTCCTGACCTTGGGAATGTCTCTGATGTGGAGCAAAGGCTGTGCTTTGGACACAAACGTGCTGCCCTGGGGCAGGGGAGGCCAAATGGTGCCCAGAAAAGAGGATTTTGCTTCTAAAGCAGAGCCAGGAGGATAAAAATATCAGCCATGAATGGAGGTGGAATGACTCTGCTTTAACTGCAGCCTCCCAGGTGATGTCCCTGCTTCAGGAGAGGCTGAGGATGGGCAAGAAGGGGCTGGAATGTCCCCAGTTCCTCAGGGATTCACCTGCACAATCCACTCATGGCCTTCCCAACCTCCCTGGCCAGAGGTGCCCACCCTGCCTGGGCAGATGCAACCCCAGCTAAGCAGGAGATCCTCTGGCAAAGGGGCAGAGGGTGACAGGCAGCTCTAAATTCACCCATCAATTCAGCTCAATCAAATTACCTTTGAGGAGGCCATTAAAGGCTCTTTTAATGGATATGCTGTGGGAGATGGAGTGACAGGAGCCTGGGAAATGGGTCCTGATGTCACATCCAGCTCCTCCCGTGTCACCTGAGACGTGTTTGGCACCAACAGCGGGATCAAACAGGGATCTGCTTCCCAAAGCTGCACCTCTGGGAGATTTTCCCTTCTTGGAGGGAGAACTGGCCTGGAGCTCCTCCAGGASGGATGAGAGGCACGGAGGGACAAGGCACAGAGGCAAAATCCACCCTCAGACCCAAGTGGGGCATCTCCCTGCTCCAGCCACCCCTAATTTATGGAGCTGAGATTGAGTTTCATCTTTTCCTTTACCCGACCCCAAAAATCTCGGCTGCAATCCTAGTGAGACCTGCAGCTCCCTGCATCGCCGGCTCTGCCAGCTGCTCCCCGTGCCAGTGACATTTAGCTAATCAATGGGATTTAATTACCACTTGGGCTAATCGGGCCGCCGATTAACGCCGCGCTGGAGGCGCTCKGAGATGGATTCGTGCCATCCTTCACCCCACAACGAGCTGCCTGCCCAAAAAAAAAMCCAGCCTGGATCATTCCCAGGCTGAGGCATCCCGTTTTGAGTGGGGGCAAGCTGCGTTTTCCACCCTGTCAGCCCAGAGGAGCCGGGCAGCCGGAGGAATTTCCCTGCAGTGATAAATATTCATGAGTCAATCCATAAGTAATGCTCAGTGCAGAACCTCCAGCGCTCGTTTGGGCTGGAAGGGAGGGAGCAGCCGAATGCTCAGCGGGGTGGAAACTCCAGGGTGGTGTTTTCTGGCCAGAGGTGTGGGGAGAGSAGCCCAAGGATATTTCTGGGGCCAGGAGCTCCCTCTTCACTGCCCTACAGCCCTCTGGGGCTGGTCCCAGGCTCCTTCCTCCCAAAAGCAGGGGACGGACGGAGCTGTAGGGTTGCTGCACGGCCCTATAGATCCCCTACAGGATCCTGTCACTCCATGGGCTCTGTAGGACTGAGCACAACATGAGACCCTCAACAAAGCCATGGAAAAGCGCAGAAAAAAACCCCAAATGCCTGCACATCCATAAAATCTTTCCCATCCCCTTTTCCAGGAGTGGGTGATGTATCCCCATATGGGACAGCAGAGATCCCCACGATCCCCAGGGCAGCAGGGGAGAGGGAGAGCTCTCCTGCCAGCCGGGCAYGGGGCTGCCCCTGCAGCCCAGGAAGGAGCTCCCACGATTCCCTGATTTATTCTATCGATCCGAGCTGAGATGCAGCGTGGTGAGCTCAGCCGTGCCTGGAGCGTGACAGGCGGGGCTGCTGCCAGCGCCCAGAGCCACCAGAGCCAGGTGACTGCTGGCAGCCTGGCTGCTCCTGCCTCTTTCTGCCTTTCCCTGGCTGCTGCTGCCTTTCCTGGACTGCTCTTGCCTTTCCCGGGCTGCTCCTGCCTTTCCTGGACTGCTCCTGCCTTTCCCTGGCTGCTCCTGCCTTTCCCTGGCTGCTCCTGCCTTTCCCTGGCTGCTCCTGCCTCTCCCGAGCTGCTTCTGCCTTTCCCGGACTGCTCCTGCCTTTTCCGAGCTGCTCCTGCCTCTTCCTGCCTTTCTCTGCCTGCTCCTGCCTCTTCCTGCCTTCTCCTGCTTTTCCCTGCCTTCTCCCACCTCCTTCTGCCTTCTTCTGCCTTTCCTGAGCTGCTCCTGCCTCTTCCTGCCTGTTTCTGCCTTTCCCTGCCTTCTCCTGCCTCTTCCTGCCTTCCCCTGCCTCTTCCTGCTTTTTCCTGCCTCTTCCTGCCTTCCCTTACCTCTTCCTGCTTTTTCCTGCCTCTTCCTGCTTTTTCCTGCCTCTTCCTCCCTGTTCCTGCCTCTTCCTCCCTGTTTCTGCCTTTCCCAGACTGCTCCAGCTTCTTCCTACCTTCTCCTGCCTCTTCTTGCCTTCTCCCACCTTTCCCTGCCTTCTCCCACCTCTTCCTGCCTTCCCCTGCCTCTTCCTTCCTGTTCCTGCCTCTCCCTGCCTCCTCCTCCCTTTCCTGGCCTGCTCCTGCCTCTTTCTGCTGTTCCTCCCTCTTCCTGCTTTCTCCTGCTTTCTCCTGCTTTCTCCTGCTTTCTCCTGCTTTCTCCTGCCTGCTCCTGCCTTCTCCTGCCTTCTCCTGCCTATTCCCATCTCTTCTTGCCTTCTCTTTCCTGCTCCTGCCTCTTCCTGCCTTTCCCTGCCTGTTCCTCCTCATTCCTGCCTGTTCCCTCTCTTCCTGCATTCTCCTGCCTGCTCCCACCTGCCTGGTGACACCCAGCATCTCCTGCTGGGAATTCCACCCAGAAACCCCCTCAGAGATCCCCAGGCACAGCACCAGGCTCAATTCCCACACGGAGGAGCCATCCCAGCCCCCAGCAGCAGAGCAGGGAGTGGGTGGTGGAGCACAACATGTGGGATTGAACCCGCTGCCGGTGCCTGCTCCGCTCCWTCCTGCTCCCCTCGAGCTGATAACGGCGCTCCCGAGGAACAGCAGCCGACAGAAAAGTGATGGAGATTAAAAAAAAAAAAAAAAACAGAAGCAAAATATAGAGAGAGAGAGGTTGTTTGGGGTTATCAGAGAGAATGGAAAACGTGTCTCACGTGGCTGACAGAGCCCAGGTTTGGACGGCTGCTGGCAGCAACCGAGGCTCCAGGAGCTGCCGGAGCTGGGCACACCCCGAGGGCGATTTCCCTGGAGGATGGGGCAGGATGGGGCAGGATGGGGCAGGAGCCCAGCACACCCAGCCCAGCTCCGGTAAATCACAGCCCAGGGGCTCTCCCCCATCTCCTGCTCTGCTCGCAGCCCCCCGGGGCAGCACCGGCCCCGCCGCCGGCAGCGGGGCGCTGGCCCTTACCTTTCTGTAGTCAAGTTTTGGCAGCTTTCCCCGGGCGAGAGATGAAATGAGAGCGAGCAGATGGCGATGTAAACAAAAGAGAGAAACGGGAGAATGAGAGCAGAATGGAAATGCACAGGACTCGGGCGCTGGGTGTCAGGGTGGTGAGGGCAGGGACGATGCCGGGGTACCCCCACCCCCGTGGGGCTCTCCTGTGCCAGCCCTGCCCGTGCTCTCGCTGGTGGGAGATTCATCAGCTGCTGCCCACACAGCTCTCCTTCCTCGCTGCCTTCCACCCACTCCGAGCCCAATTAGAGATCTCGTCCCTGGCACCGCTCCCTCCCGCGCCGAGGGAAGCCTGACCCAAAGGCTGCCGGCGGATCCTCGGGAGGCGGGGAGGGAAGCAGAGCTCGGTCCTGCCCTGTTCTGGGTGCTGCCCTCGCCCCCTGACCACGAGCAGCTCCACTGCCTGGGCCAACATCTCCTCGCTTGTCCCCAAAGCTGAGTTTTGGTGAGAGAGGGAGAGGGGTGGGGGTTGCAAAGAAGCCGTGGAGGGGAGAGGAGCATCCTGTGAAGCTAAAACAGCGTGGTCTGACCCTCTGGGGCTCAGCTCACAGCCTCTTCTCCTGCCTTCTGAAAAAAAAAAAAACCAAAAAAAAAACAAAAAAAAACAAACCATCCCTTCCCAAAATCTGCAAGGATTGGGGTCTTTTGCCTAAACCCACCTGGATCCCACATTGCTCCGGTCCTGACACAGAGAGGAGCCCAGCAGCCTTTCCAGGAGCCCGGAGGCAGAACCAGCACCTCACTCCCCGTTTTTGCTCCCAAATGTGCAAAAAGTCCCTGATTGCCTCAATCARGCAGGCGGCAAAGGCGCTGAGGCGCAGCACTTCGGGGGCCGTGATTAGCGGCGTTTAAAAGAGCCATTTATAAACTGACAGCCGGGCACAGCCACGGGTAAATAACAACAACATCGGGAAAAACATCCAGTGCTGCCACCGGGATGAGCAGCCGGCTCCTGACCCTGGGAATGCCCGGGGAGGAGGGGATGGAGGGGATGGTGAGAGCAGAGGGGGTGGGATGGAAGCGGAGGTGGCAAAGGAGAGGGCAGAGCCGCCGATGGAGCAAATTCCCTGATGGAACGAATTCCCCATGGAACAAATTCCCCGATGGAACAAATTCCCCAATGGAACGAATTCCCCCACGGAATGCTTGGCACAGCCAGTCCTTGCTGTCCCCAAACCCGGGCTGAGCTGTACCTTGGCTTTGTTGATGGTGCAGTGGAGGGCGTTGTTCTCCTGGTCGTAGAGCAAACTGAAATCCAGCGTTCCCAGCGCGGCTGCGAGGAGAGGAGAAGGCATTAACTGGGAAACACGGGCTGTTCTCCCTCTGGGCACCAAAGGAGGGGATGGAGACGCTGAGGAACGGGCTGCAGGCGTCATAAAACATCAAACACCCTGCTGGGAACTCTGTTTTGGAATGTGGCTTCGTGCTGGGGGTTGGTGGCCGTCCCCAGGTTGGTGGCACAGGATGAGCTGTACTCATCCACTGCAGCCAGAGGTTTGGCTTCCGTGGGCTTTCACCTGGATTATCCCCATCCCTCACTGCAGCCAGGAGCTCCCTGTCCCCCAGGAGAGGAAGGGGCTCCTCTGGGAAGGTTTGGGAATGGCTGGGACACAGCTGAGCCCCGCTGCTGGCGCGTCCTCCCCTCCAGCGCCGCCGGCGTTCCCAGAGCGTGTATTTGTGTAGTGACACCTTCAAACAAATGAGCCACCAGTGGGATCCCTTCCCAGCTCCAATCTGGCTGCAAACTGTAAATTAAACCCAGTGAGGATGGAAATGCTTTTTTGGTTAAAATGAAAAACACCAGCGGCTTTTAATCGGCGCCGCGTTCTTTTGCGGCATCCGCAGGATCCGGGAACAGCAGAGTCTCCTGGGATGGGACACAGGGATGGGGCAGGGGACCAGAACAAAACCAGAAAAGCCTCAGCAGCAAAAGCACACTTGATTTGAGAAATTCTTTCCCTTTTGGATGATCTGAGCCCGTCTCGCTAATCTGAAGCAGAGGAAAAGCCTTAAAAAGACAGGCTTTGCAAAAATATGGCTTAACCTGCTCCAAGGTTCCTGATTTGCACAGCAAAGCCCAGGCCTGGAGCAGCCTTTCCTGGCTCAGCTTTTCCACCAGTCTGAAACTTCCAGGCTGGCTCTGGACCCAGCAAACCCCATTTTTCCACATCCCCCTTCCCAAAAGGGGTTTGCCTGAGCACTGCCCTGCCACCAAACAGCATCCCACCGCTGTTTCCATGGTAACAGCACCTTCCCATCGCATTCAGAACATGAGAAAAAAAATCAAAATAAAACCCAGAACAGTTTTGTTTAATATCAAAGCAGGGTTTGCTGCCTGGGAGGGAGTTAGACAAACTTTATGGCAGGAAATAAGCTGTTTTTTTTTTTTTTTTTCTTCCCCAGTGTTGATAGCAGCGAGGCACCCACTGAGTTTAAGGATATTCAGGGGAGCAAAACCTTCCTGCTGCAATTTCACAGTGATCTCCCGGCCCAAAGGCAAAGCAGCTACAGGTTTGTCTGCTGGCAAAAAAAATAAAAATAAAAAATAAAAAATAAAAAATAAAAAATTCATTGCTCCGGAGCAAATACCTTGAGTTCAAAGCACAGTAAACACCTAGAGAGAGCTCTGCCAGAATAACGCACCCCCCTCGTTGTGGAGCAATTTCATGGCACATTAGCTCCCGCTCTGGGTAAGTCACAAATCAGCGGGGTTTCACCTGCCGGGGGTGAGGCCAAACCTGCAGCTCCTGGTGTGTCACGCCCGGCTTTGGCACAATCGGGCATTTCCAGAGCAATTCCCAGCTTAAAACCCCCGCAAACCCCGCAGGGAGGAGGGAGCGGCGGTTCCCCGGAGCCTCTGGGCGCTCTCAGCGGCGTGAGGCTCCGCAAACTGAGGCAGCGAAACTTCCCAGCTCTGCATTTTTCGCTCAAGAGCGGAAAATGAAGCCTCCGGTTTGGGAGCCTCATCCTCCCCTTCAATCAGCGCTTCCTGCCGGCCCCACCGCTCGACCCGCAGAGATGGAGCTGTTATTTTATTTTTATCGCAGGAGGGGAACCCGCGGTTCAGCCTGTTGGGTTTGACCGTTTATAAAACGAATTTAAAAACTTGGCTGGCGAGCAGAGTCCGGCTGGGAAACGTTGACAGAGCCCCAGGGGTGAGGGCTGAGGAGGTGGCAGAAGGGCTAGTAGCCATTCCTGCACCCCACAACAGCATCCTGCGAACCCCCAAAGCCTCATCCCATCCCTGTGCCCCCAAAATGATCAGCACAGCAGCACTGCCTCAGCGCTCCTGCAGACCCCAGCAGCGCATCCAGCCCTGCCTGTGGGAATCCTGCATCCCCAGCTGGCAGGATTGGACCCAAAAACTGCAAATCAGCCCAATCTCCATCCCCTTTGATTGCTTTCCCCCTCCCACGCCAGACGCGGCTCGATTGTGGTATTAATTAGGGGAGCAAGCACCTCAAAAGGAAAAGGGCAGCAATCAGACTCGGAGCGCTGTTACCGGGATTATTGAACTCGGCTGGGCTGTTCCGAACGCTGCCCTCTAATCACAGAGGCTGCAAATAAAAAAATATAAATAAATGCCTTTGTCAGGCGTCACAGAGGCAGCCGGGCGCTCCTCAGACAGCAGGCAGGACGCATCGTTATTATTACAATTATTCTGCTCRGATGATAAAATAACCATTAGGAACGCCGAGCTCATTAGCAGGTTCTGACCCTCCTTCCTCTCGGTGAATTGGGGGAGATTGATGGGAAGGCGCTGCCTTTTCACACAGGCTCTGAAARGGAGAAATAAATCCCACTTGCACGGGAAGGTGGCCTCTTCCTCCACTGACCTTTGGGCGTTTTGATTGATTCCGTGGGCCGGGAAATGATTSGAGGGCAGCAGGAGCAGCAGACGCGTCCGTGGGCTCGGCCGGCGGCAGGAATTGTTTATTGCGGGCATTTCCCGGCAGCGCCCAGGCTGGGCAGGGCTCAAGGAGCTTCTATTGATACCTGTGGGATCAGTGGCCATAAATCTGCGCTCTGCTCCCTTCCCCTGGCGCCTGGGCGGCAGATCCGCCCTTTCTGCAACCCGAGGGGAAGAGTTTCTCATCCCAAGGCATGGAAGAGCCACTGGAACTCACAGAACAGACTCCAGCACAGCTTGGAAGCGATGATGGAGCACAACCCTTCCCAAGGCAGGGATCTTTCGGGGCGTGACTGCTGTCAGAAAACCCAGCAAAACCCAGCGCCGGGAGAAATTGAGGTGTGCACAGACAAAAACCCCGCCACAGAACTAATTAAAAAGAGGTCCGAAAGCCTTAAGTCCCTCTGCTTATCAGCGTTGCCGCTCCCGAGATAATCTGCTCACGGATTTTGTGCCAGGGAGATCAGAGCGGRGCAGTAAAAAGGCTGCTGGGGGATTGTCTGGATTAGCTCTCCCTTACAGAAAGAGCAGGTTCAGTAACCTTCAGGCTGGGCACTTTTTAATGCACTATAAAAGATAGGTCCCTATTCTTCCCCTGCTTTAATTTTCCCTTGCAATGGAGATAATTTGAAGAGGTCCTGAAAGGCAGCGAGTAATTCCGTGCACTTACARCCCCGTGTAAAGTGTTGGTAAATGACTCCTCGGGAGGAACAGAAATTACCTCCTGCCATTTCCAGGCTGCTGAAGAGAGTTTTGGTGGGTGCCTGTGTGTGCTCCTGCCTGCTCCTGGTGTCCTGAACAGGTTTGGGGCAGAGCTGCAGGACTGGCTCCACGAGGTCTGGAAAACCCCCCAGCACCCACAGCATTCCCAGTCTGGGCACAGATCCACCCAGAACGCTGCTGGGAGTCAGGGATGGGTCCCAAAGGTGCTGAGTTGAGGAGCTGCAGGCCCTGAGGGCAGCGCTGACCTCTGGTATGACGCTCCAGCCACAGCACCAAGGCATGGAGGCAGCTGGGAACAGGACACTTCTGGAAGTTGGTGTTACCATGAGCTATTCCAGGAAAGTGGATTCTCTGGGAGGCTTTGGGACACATCCCAGAGGCAGGACAGAGTGTTGGGACAAGGACATTYCCATCAGCATCCCAGGACTCTGAACTGTTGCCTCTGGCAGGGCAGGACATTCCCAGTCCTACACAAAACCCCAGCAGGGAGCAGATCCAGCACACAGGCAGGAGACCTTCCCTCTTCAGGAGWTCCAAGAATGGGGCTGAATTCAACAGGATCAGGAGCCAGGAACAAGCACAACTTCTCCCCCTTGCCACTGCTCCCTGCCTGGCCATGAGTTTTTCACTGCAAATTGCAGCAATTGATATTTCTTCATGCTGGAGACACTGGYGAGCTCTGGAGCAGGGAGCTGCTCCTTGGTGAGGTTTGTTGATGGATGCTCATCAGCTCTTCTGTCTTCTCCAGGAGGAGAATTCAGAGGAGCACTTATCTGCTCAGAACAGTTCAGAGATGCAATTATGTTTTACAGCACTAAATGGTCCCTGATGTCAGCAGCAATTAGACTTTCAGCAATTTCAATTTGGAGATGGCCTTCAAATCTCTGCCGCTCTCCTCCTTTAATGAAATACAGCGTCGCAATTAACCACCCCCCAAAAGTCCAAAACAGCCTTCAGTGTTAAACACAAGGATGGGAAGGCTGGGAACCCCTCGGGTGTGGTGGAACAAGGGGTTCCACCAGCTTCTTTCTCCAGCTTGGCACCCTCTCCTCCTCTTCCACGCTGGAAGAGGAGAGGTGAAGGGCCGGGCAGGCTGGTGGGAGGAGGGATCTCKTTATCCAGGAGCCGTGTGGCTCCTTCATTAGCGGAGACGCCGGGGGGCACGGCCCATCTGCTGCTGCCACGATGCTCGGACAGACCCTGCTCAGCCTCCTGTGCTTCCCTCTCCTGCTGCTCCTGCTCACCTCCAGGGCTCCAGGCCGTGGGGAGAGGAAGGTTCCTTGGGGRACCAGGGATGGGCAGCAGCAAAGCACAGATCTCACCCACACCGGCGCATTCTCAACACCCACCCATCCCACTGGAAACCAGAGAGGAGCTGATCCAGTTAAACCCCACTGGGATAGCCCAAAGTTCCCCTGGGACACCTCAGTGTGACCCTGCCCTGTTCCTGCATGAGTTCCTTCAGCAGAGTCAGCTCGGGCTGTGCTCTGCCTGGCAAAGCCGTGCTCCAGGCTCTGCCGAAATCAGCGGTGGTTTGTTTCGTTTCCTGAGCAAAAAAATAAAAACCGCTAACTTCTTTTGGCCTTATCTGGATTGAAAAGACGATTCAAAGCTTATAAATAGCAGTTGCAGCATATGCTGAGGAGCTGTGTTTCGGGAGTAAATACCCTGCTCGTTCCTCGCCGTCTCCTCTGCCTCCCCCTGTCTGGCCAAAAGCGCTGCCAGGTGACTTGCAAGCCCWGCAACCCTTCAGACCTCCCTTTTTTCTTTACGTCTTCGAGCAGCCAGCAATTAATATCTCCATGACGGCTTTGCCTGCCTAATTATCTTCTTTGCTCAAAATAAGAGTCTTCCTAAATAACTTGTGTGGCGCTGCAGGCGTCACGAGCCGCCGCGCACCAGGACCGGCCTCTCAGCTGCACTTTGGAGAAGTGGCTTTTCCTGCTGCTGCTGCAGCTCTAGAGCTCAGGAACCTGCTCTTTCTTGAAAAAAAAATCAGGCGTGGAGTGGAATTGGCTGGGTTTGAGTACATGGGAACAGCCCTGGCAGGAGCAGGATGGGGCAGCGCTTCCAGGGATAACGGCTCCCGCTGCTCTCGGGCTCTCTCCTCACCTGAAAAACCGGAGCCAAACACATTTGGAGGAGGGAGGGAATTCCAGCGTGACCAGAGCTTCTTTCCAGAGCCAAACAGCAGCTCAGGGGAGCGGGGCATTTCCAGGCTGGAAACTTGATTGCCTGTTAAAGGAGGATGGATGGCTGCTCCCTCCAGAGCYGTGCCCTGCGAGAAGCGCTGGCAGTGCTCCCTCACAGCGACTGTGTCTCTGCTTGTGCAGAGGTTTCAGAGACCTTTAGAAAGCCCTCAGGCACCGATTCCTGCTGGTGCTGCGGAGGGGAAGGCGCAGGCAGCGGAGGGGCAGCAGCGTTCGGGTGGCGCCGGCGGCGGTGGCAGCGAGAGGCGGCTCCTCGCARGTGGCACATTGCCATCTAGCTGGCATTTGCTTCCCTTCCTTGCAAACCCAGTTTCCCTGGCACCGCGCTGCCCGGCTGGGTGGGAAGCAGCCCTGGTGGCTGGGGACCCCAGGGACCCGCTGCTGTCACCGGGCAGGGGAGCCAAAGACGAGGTGACAGCCGGGTGTCCCGAGCCAGCAGCAGCGAATTCCCCATCCCCAACCTCCCTCATCACCGAACCACCCTTCTGCACCAAAACCACATTTTCCACCTTCCTGCCCCATCCCGTGCACCTCCTCAGCAGCTCTGCTGGGGACAAACCCGCTGCAGAAGGGTCCTGCTTTGCACAGAGCGGGGCAGGGCCGGGTCCCCCTCCCCAGGGATGGCAGCGGGACACGGCAGCGGGTGCCCAGCACAGCCCTGCAGATCCTCCCAGCAGCGCTGCCGGCAGGGAAGGGCTGGCTCCAGGCAATTCCCAGCCAGCCCAGAGCCAGCCCAGATGTCTGCACTCATTATCTGCTGGGCTGGCTCCCTGGCYCTGCCTGCTCCCTGCATTCAACAGGCTGCTCGAGGTGTCCAGAGCACAAATCTGAGCCTCCCCTCTGTCCTCTCTGCCCAGCTCGGGAAGGATTCCACCTGCTTCCTGCAGCCTGGGGCTTCTCAGTTTTCCAAAGCACCAATTCCATGCACGGACACACATCCCTGATTCCCGAAGATGCCAAACCCCTGGGCCAGGGTACCCTGCACCCAACAGTCCCTGATGCTGCTCCCGGGGCTGTCCCATCGTGGGGACAGGGCAGTTCCCACTGGCTCTGCAGACACTCGAGGGTTTGCTGGTGGGCTCTGGAGCACAGCTCAGCAAAGGATTAAGGAACAGGGTGCAGCCARCCCAGGTGAGCTGCAGCAGGGCCGGGCAGGATCCACCCTGCCCACTCCCCACAGCCCTGATGGGGTTCTGGAATCTGGGCAGGGCTGGCAGCTCCGGAAAAACCCCAGAAAGCCCAGGCTGGAGCAGTGAGGAGCTTGGGGAAGCCCAGACAATTGCTGCATTCCTCCAGGCAGGGGCAGCGCTCCTCCTCCCACCCAGCCAGCCAGCGGCATGGCCTTGGCGGGGAGGAGGAAACCCGCAGGCAGGTGGGACAAACTGCAGGGAGCCGTTCCATCCTCCTCCTCCTCCTCCTCCTCCTCCCGGTGGATCCTGCCACGGCAAAATCCCTCTCCGGGGCTGGGCTGGGCTGGGAGCGTCTCTGAGGAGCGAGGCAAGACGTGCCTGGCAAAACCTCCATTTGTGGTCTCCAGTGGCACCATCCCCGGAGCCCTCCTGCACCCCGTGTGTCACCCAGCGGGGCTGGCACCGCCTAAAGCCAGCGCTGTCCTGACGTGCAGGCACAGACAGGCTCTCCAGGGGACATTTAGTGCAGGTGACTAATGCGACAGCCCTGAATCACCCTCCAGAGGTGCGGGGGAGCTCAGCGCCACTCCCCAGCGTGGCTGATGGCACTGCCAGGCTGCACGAGTCCCCTCCCTGCTCCCGGGCTGGGCAACGGGCACAGGGAGCTCCTTTGTGGATTTACAACTCGGGGGAGTGACAGTGTCACCCTGCACGCTCACGCCAGCCCGAGGGTGTCCCGAGGGTGTCCCCAGAGATGTGCCACCAGCTCTGCCCCCTCCCCGCCCTGCTCCCGGCGCCGCTGTGCCTTTGCCAGCCCAAACGCCACCACATCTGGCACAACGGCCTCAGCAGTTTGCCTGACACCTGTTACGCTGCAAGAAACACTTCCCTAACGCCAGCCGGGGTGAGAGAAACACCCGCCGGCCCCGGCACGGAGCCAGGCTGCTTCTGGCAGCCAACAGCCAGGATCCAATATTCAGGATCCAACAGCCAGGATCCAACATTCAGGAACAAACATTCAGGATCCAGCAGCCAGGATCCAAAATTCAGGATCCAGCAGCCAGGATCCAACATTCAGGATTCAGCAGCCAGGATCCAACAGCCAGGATCCAATATTCAGGATCCAACAGCCACGATCCAACATTCAGGATCCAACACTCAGGATCCAAAATTCAGGATCCAACATTCAGGATCCAGCAGCCAGGATCCAATAGTCAGGATCCAACATTCAGGATCCAACATTCAGGATCCAACAGCCAGGATCCAACAGCCAGGATCCGATATTCAGGATCCAGCATTCAGGATCCAACAGCCAGGATTCCTGCAGGATCCAGCACCACCGACGGAAAAATGCAGAATGCAGCGCCCCGGGCGATCTCCATGCGAGGCACCCGGAGAAAACGCTGCGTTTTGGGGCCGCGGGGGTTCCCGCACACCCCCCTGGCCCTGCAGCGCGGTTGCTCCAGGGCGAGCAGAGACGATCGGATAATTAGAGCAGCAAATGAGGCAAAGCCGGTTAAAGTCCCCGTTAACTGCCCGGCTGGGACAAACGCGGCTTAGCAGAGATGTTCTCCCTGGCAGTGCCAGAGCTGTCGCCTCTCCACACMGAGCGTGACCCCGACAGCGGCGTGGGGACAGAGCTGTGGCAGTGCCGGCACCCAGCACCCAGCCTCTCCAGGGGCTGTGCCCAGAGGGGGACACGGGCACGGCAGCGGCACCTGCAGCAGCMCAGCCCATCGGAGAGCCCTCCTTGGGGTCACACTCCGGGCTCTGGCACAGATGGCAGCGACGCCCAGGCAGGGCTGTGCCATTCTGCCAAGGGAAMGGCACCGCCTGCCCGGCGCTGGGCCGTAAACAGCTCCGAGCCTCCCCTTCCCCCAGGACGAGCACGCAGCACCGCTCAGCCGCCTTCCCCGGCACCTCCCGGCTCCCAACTTTGTGCTCAGCCCCTGGCAGGATCTGGCCCCCGAAGGCTGGGCTCAACCGAGCCCTCGGGATTTCTCCAAGGGAAATGGTGTTATCCCGGGAGCCGCGGCCGGCAGAGCCAGGCGGCCGCCGCTGCTTTCCTTGCATCTCCACGGCTCCGGGAGGGAAGGACGTTTTGGGTGGGGAGGGGTTAACCCTTGCTGMAAACACCTGCATCCAGCGGAGCCGAAGCCCTCTGCTCCCAAGGCCCCCCCGGTCTCCTGCAGGGCTCGGGAGGGTGAGGAACGGAGGGATGACACGCCGGAGTTTGCCGAGSGAGAGGGCACAGATCTCCCGGGCGRATTCCATTCCCAACAAATCTCGCCGGCRTGGGGCCGGGCGCTGCTGGAGCGRATSGCCAGCTCATCAGCAGGGTGGCTGGAGCAGCCTGCACCGGCGAGCCGGATTCACGGGGTCTGAGCCCGGCTGGCAGGCGCGGAGCCGAGCGGGGACGAGGCGGAGAAGTGCACCAACCACAACAGCAACTGGTGGCTCTTGGGAGACTTCCCTAGTCCGGGCTCARCAGCCAGCCTGGCTGCGGCAGGGACACTCCCAGGGCCCCTCCACCCCGGAGCAGCGCCGGGAGAGCCTCCCCGGCTGAACCCCGGGGCTTCTCAGCGCTGCAGTGTGATCCCAGGGATGGCCAGCGTGACGGGGAGGGTGCACCAAGATGGGCCACCAGCCCTGACACCCACCCTCGCCCCCAGAACTCCCACGGAAACTTAGGAACTTACTGCAGTCGTCGGACTCGTAACCCTCGGGGTCCACCACCTCCTCGGGCGCTTGGCTCTTGGCCGRCTGCTCCGCGGGCGTCGTTCCGTAGGCTCCAAAGAGCTGGTCCACGTCCTCATCATCCTCCCGGGGTGCCTCGGCGGGGCTGACCGAGGGCTGGCTGACGGCGGGGCGCAGGGCGCTGCCGCTGCGGCCGACGGCGGCGGGGAGCCCGCGGGGGAAGCGGGGGAAGTAGTCGGAGATCTGCTTGATGGGCTTGATGGGGCCGGGGCAGACGTCAATGGCCATGTGCTCCTGGATACTTATGGTCATTTTCTCTCCTTTTCGGAGTGTCATGCATGCGGCTGTCGCTGCCGAGCCCCGCCGGAGAAGCCCGGAGCGTGCGGGAGCGGGAAGTTTCTGCCGGGGATGCGGAGGCAGGTGCGGAGGCAGCTCGGGCGAGCGCCTTACGTGGTTGTGGCGCCCTGAGCCCCGGTGGCCGCACTCATGCTGCTGCTGCTGCTGCTGCTGCTTCTGCTGCTTCTGCCGCTGCCTCTGCCAGCCCCGGCGCCCGCGCAGCCCCTGCTCCTGCCGGCGCTGCCTGGGAATAAATGAGCGAGACGGAGAGACGGATAAGAGGCAGGGGGTGGGCTCTCGGGTGATGTCACCAGCTAGCAACAAAGCGGTACCCAGCGGCGGAGGAATGAGGGCTGCGGCCGGCCTGCCGCCCCGGCCACACGGCCCCCGGCGTGGGCATCAGCCCCCCGCCCCTTCCCCGGCACAGCCCCGGCTCCGAGGGGGCGGCCGGCAGAAGCTGCGGTGATGGGGTGTGGGGAGGTGGGCTGTGGTTCATCGCCCTGCCAGAGCGGGGGTGGTCCCTGCCAGCCCCCTCCGAATGGGGCTGAGGTCACCGGGCAGTGCCAGAGCCACCGTCCTGTTGTGTGGCATCCCGGCGCGCTGTGGGAAGGGACGCGGGGTCCGTGGCATCCCCCGGGGACAGTGACAGCCCCCAACCCTGCTCACCGCAGGCTGTGCCACACCCTGAGCCGGGGGTGTGGATGGCACCRCTGCCCGCGGGTCACAGGGACGGGGACAGCCCAGACTCGGGTCCCTGCTGTCCCCATGGCTGCCCCAGCAATGTCCCCTCCAGAGCTGGACGAGCTCCTGAARCCGGGGACACCGCAGGGACTGAAGCAACAGCTGTGCCCTGCTCGTGGCCCAGGTGGCACAGCCTCTGCCAGCCGCTCCTGTGCCACGGGGCAGGTACAGCACCACAGAGAGGTGAGCCATGGGCTGGGGCAGGGCTCAGTGCTGCTCTGCCCTGCTCTGYCCCCCTCCTGCTCCTTCCTGGGCAYRGCTYCTGCCASAGYCTCCCTGGAAAACGCCGTGCTTTCCTCAGGGAATCGGTCCCAAACTGCTGTTTTTACTCACCTCCCGCTGTGCTCAAACCAATAAATCCGTGATTTTACGAGCTACTGGGAGTGGACTTTCCAGCAAGAAGGGCCAGAAGAGAATCACTGTGAGAAAATGGTGCAAAATGCTGTCCAGTAACTCACCCTGCCCTGGAAAACGGGTCTGAAATATTTCAGAGGAGTGGTTCTCTCAGTGCATCTTCTGCTGGCTCAGCTCTGGGGGGTGTGGTGTGAGTGTGGAGTGCTGTGGTCACCCACTGCAGTGTCCACCCCCCAGAGCTGCAGTCTATCTATTAAAAACAAAGCTCTGTTCTTCAGAGGATTTCTCCAAAACGACACCCAACCTTTGTGCCTCRTGCAGGGTTCAGTTTTCACTCAGATTTTGGTCAATGTTCATGCACGGCCCTGAGTCACAACACGCCAACACCAGGCAAACTCACCCAATTCACTCCTCACAGGGAAGGGAATGCTCTCCTGGAGCATCCAAASTTGTCACTGCTGTCACCCAGACACAGTGCACATCTCAGGAGGATTTAATGACCCGGGAGAACTGGACACAGCTCGCTGCTCCTTTGTGTGCTCCTGAAGTGGCTCCTGCCTGTTGCAGGTCKAACAGCAGACCCAGCCTCTGACAGTTCAACCCCCTCCCCACATCCAAAGACTCCCAGGGCGTTAATTCAGCTGGAAATGCTGCCTGCTTTGTACGTGGAGGCAGAAAACCTGGCAGATGGGCTGATGGTGGATGGGAATGTCACAGCAAGCACGAGGAGGGACCTCAGGCTTTGGGTGTGTTCATCCACACAGGCTCCATCTTTGGGTGCAGCATCCAGGATGTGGTGTGGACTCAGACAGAACGAAGCAGGAATTGGGCCCGATGCCCAGAAAATAGCAGCAATTTCCTCTGAGAAAGGGCAAACAAATAAATAAAAAAAAAATCGAGTTACGCGCGAGAGCCTCGATGCTGTTACTGCCGTCGCAAAAGCGTCATCGCTTCAAAGGTTTCCACAAAGAGCACCGGACCCAAAAAGGCAAGGATTGCTTTATGGGACAGAAAATCGAGGCTYTGGGAATTCAGGTGAACCTCTGAGCTCTCCACCTCCTGCATCCCACTGGAAGAAACAAAAATCAAGACTCATTGCTGATAGCCCAAACGGGATGATGGGTTGATCCCGAGCCYACTGAAAGCAGCTGGAGCCTTTTCTTAGCTTTTAATGAACCCCAAAGCAGCCTTGCTTTGATAAACCACAATTTTYCCCCTTCCCATGCTCCCTGAGTGTCTCCTCTGGGCTGCACAGCCCCATATTTACCAAGGACTCCCCAAAACGTGCCCGGGGCTGGCCCCACACACGGCCACAACACGGAAGGTGAAAGGGACAAAAATAGACAGCAGGGCCGGGAGACAAAAGCAGGGCTTGGAGATACAAAGCCAGTTTCCAGGTAAAGCTCTTAATTCCCACCGTCTGTCTAATGCCCTGGAATGTGACTTGGTTTGATCCCTGCCTTTGCTGGGGCGGTTCAGAGCCGCTGCTGCGCCCACGCACACGGCCTCTGCTGCCCCGACAGAGGGAATTTGGCTTCATGGGAGGGGGAATTTGGTTTTCTGGGAGGGGGAATTTGGCTTCCCCCAGGCTTTCCAGGAGGGGAGAGAGCGAGTTGAAATGTTAAAATGCCAATTTCCACAGCTGGACCCACGGCTGTGCCCGGCAGGAAGCAAAGCGGGGAATATCCATCCTTGAGGGAAGGGGGAGGTGGCTGTCACAGAGCCAGCAGCAGGGATGGGATAATGGGCCAGAGCAATTGTCCTGTCAAAAAACATGTTTTCCTCCAAGAAAACAAGATTCTGAGCTCGGCACACGTGACATTGTGCTCGGGATCTGAAGGAAGCATCGCTCCAGCTCCAGCCCAGGCTCAGAAAAGACTCAGGTTTTGATTTAATTTAGTTTAAATGTTGTCCTGGAGAGGGGCACGAGCACATCCAGACAAAGCCTGTGGCTCTCACTCTCCCTGTGCCACAGCCCAGCTCCCTCCTCTGGAACTGCCCAGCCCATGGGCAAACAGAAGGAATATCCCTACAGCCCCCAGAACAGCAGCACTTGGATTAAATGCTCACCCAAAAACTCAGGCTGCCCTCAGGATACACTTCACCCAATTTTCTGACAAATTCCAAGTACCAAACCCTGCTGTTCCTGGTTTAAATCAATGAGAACAGGGGCTGATTTCAGTTGGATCAATTCCTTCCCAAAGGACAAGCACAGCAGCAGGATGGCACATCCCATTGCTTGCCAGGGATTCTGTGACCAACCCACTGGTTCTTCATTTAATTGCCAACTTAAAATCTCTCTGACCCCCTGCTCTGCTTGTGAAGAACTAGGGAAATGCCAAATTAAAGCCCTTGATTTGGAGGAATGTGGATCTCATCCCTGAACTCAGAGGGGTGGCCCAGGGAGGTTTGTCAGTCCCCCAGGGAGGTGACACCAGCAGCACCACCCTGCACAGCCCGAGCTGGGATTTTACWTTTTTCCAACCTTTTTAAGCCTGAAAATACCCACAGATGAAGGCAGGAGAAGGTRCCAGCAGATAGCACAGCCCATTCTGGCTGCAGGGCCAGGAATRGGGGATATCAACCCTGTTAAGGGATGCCAGCACTGCTGGAAGAGACCCCTCCATCCCTCGGGGGTGACTCAGGACAACCCCGCCTTCTGGGGRCTGGGAGGTACAAAACTCATTTTTGATTCCTTCCAAGGAGCTGAGCTCCAGCCAGGCTGTGTGCACGGGAAGGGGGTTAATTGAAAAGCCAACATGTGCCCTGCTCCTTGGCTGGCTCCGGGCGCTGTCTCCTGGCTGACGCACAGCTCCTGGCACCGGGCTGCTCCCCCTGTGCCATCCGTGCCTGGGCGGGCCTGGCTGAGCCCATCCTGCAGATTGCAGACCTTACCTGCTCCAACAGCCTTTGCATTCGCTAAGTAAAGCAATAATAATAATAATGATGRTGATGATAACTGGGAAACTTGGCAAAAATAATCCTAAGGAGCTTATTGCGGGCGGTGGCGATTACGGCTCCCCGGCAGCGCTGATATCCCGGCGCACCCCGGCCCCCGCTGCTCCTCGGCTTGGATAATTCCTGAGGTTATCTCTGCTCCAACAGGCCCTGTTAACAACCAGCATTTGACCAGATTGAACCAGCAATTACTAGCTGTGAACAAAACCGCCGTGGTGGAACGCAGCCCACGCCCCGACACGGCGCAGACACAAACAAACCCTGGCAGAACGCTGGGCGAGGGCCCAAATGCCAGCAGGAAAGAGCCCCCTCCCCTCAAAACATTGCTGAAGGCTCCCAGGGACTTCATAGAACACCCAAACAGTGGCAAAGGTGGATGGGATCTTCCTGACCAGCACTTTGTCACCTGCAGATGGACCTGGAAGAAGCTCCAAGGAGGAGGGAGGGAGGCATCTGCTCTCCCTGCATCTTGAGGAGGGGCCCAGAATAGCTCTCCTTTGGGGAGGGGCTGATGTTTAACGTGCGGCATATGCTGCCATTTCCATGTGAGTCCCGAAATAGTTGGTGTTTTCCTTTGTGATTTTAATGTTCTCGGGTTTTTTTTTGAGTCCTGCGAAATGCCCTCCCTCCTGCCGGGGAGGGGACACGCTGTGCCCTGGCCACCCTGACACGGCGCTGCCAGCGCTCAGGGCACCTGGAAATGGAGCAGAGGGGATCATCAGCTGCTGGAAACCTCGGCTCTGTGGGGTRTGGAGCAAATCCGCACGGGATTCACCAGGATGGGTCTGAGCACAGCGGGAGTCGCAGGAAAAACCACCCAAACGGTGCCTGGGAAGGGAGTGACAGCCAACCCCGGGCACAGCACTGCCAAGGGCCCAGTCCTCAGCGGGATTTTCTTACGGATGAACCCTTTTGGACTTTTTTCCTCCGTTTTTTTCCCATGATTCCTCGTTTGCCACCGCCAGGCCGGGCGGAGCTGCCCTCTGTGATTGTTGAGTGCCTGCGAGATAAACGAGATAAACGCAGCCCCGCTCCCCGGCAATCACGGCGGGGGAGACTTCTGCGCAGCATCAACTCCTATTACACTAATTTTATCTGCTCTCAGTGTCTTTCCAAGCCGGAGTCGACGTCCTCTGAGATTATCCAGCTGACTTGTCTTAGGAGTTCTACCC